AACAAAAAGAAGAAGCTTTTTAAAATAAATGCTTGATCTGAAGAGGCCCAGTGCTATTGCATATTCTTTTAAATAGCTTAGAATAATGTATACTTCCAGAAACCCACATCAATTTTAACAGTATCTGTAGAAATATAGTCTGAATTGTAACACCACAAACAGTGTATATCCTCTTTACTGTTTGCTGTAAGGAGGCAAATTGCTGGGAGGCAGAGGCAGACCCCCCCCCCCTTTTCTCCCCCAACAGCTAGGTGTGTCATATTTCAGAGCGTCTTATACTCTGAAAAATACGGTACCTTAATTTGCCTAGGAAGAGTGTTAAGCATCAGCATAGGCAGCATACAATAATTTCCCACTGCTGTCTTGACTGCAGTGTGCATCCAGAGACTGCAGTGTGCATCCAGAATTACAGTAGCAGGTGGAAGTGTTACTCAGATTGAGTGGAGATGACTCACCACCCATCTTAATTGTCCAGAATAGCCTACTCAGCCTTCTAGCCTTCTGAGGTGGGTAAAATGAGCAGCCAGATTGTTGGGAGCAATATGCTGACTCTGTAAACTGCTTAGAGAGGGCTGTAAAAGCACTGTGAAGCAGTATATAAATCTAAGTGCTATTGCTACTAGCCAAAACTGGGAGAAAGGAACTGTCCAGGGTACTGATGGCCAAGTTTCTATATTAATGTAGGTAGGCCTTGACTTACAATCATTCATTTAGTTAAAGTTATAACAGCACTGGAAAAAGTGGCTTATGACTATTTTTCACCCTTAAAACCATTGCAACATCCCCATGGTCACATGATCAAAATTTGAATGCTTGATAACTGGCATGTATTTATGATGATTTGTAGTGTTTTGGGGGTCACGTGATCACCTTTTTCTGATAAGAAAAAATCAGTGGGGAAACCAGTAACAATCATGTTACTAACTTAACAGCTGCAGTGATTCACTTAACAACAGTGGCAAGAAAGGTCCTAAAATGTACCTTACTTCTCTTGCTTGGCAATGGAAAGTTTGACCTCTATTGTGGTCAAAAGTCAAGGACTACCTATATTACTAAGATGTGATTTTACCAGCACAATTAATCTTGGAAAACAGTGGATATGCTTAATGTCTATGGAGAAAGCACTTTGGGGAGTGGATATTTTACTAGCAGCTGATTAGGCACTGAGGATCTTTTCAACTTTTTGGTTAGGTTGTAACCTGCCTTCCCTTCCATCCAGAAGCCCAGTTTCACCATTCTGAGGTGGCTCTCCTGATGCACAACCCATGCGTTTTTGATGCAACCTCTATTCCTAAGTCTATTCCTAAATCTGTCCCTCATTTTCATCCCCTTTCGGAGTACATCTCTTAACACTAAGCAACAGCTAATCAGCAGTTTTCCTTCCTCCCATGCAATGGCTTGCTCCTTCTCCTGGCATTCACATAAACATGGATAAATACAAATGAGGTGCCCCTTGGCTCCATTTAAGGGACTTTAACAACTTTTCGAAGGGTTTCTCACATATCCAGCAATAACCTCTGAGTGCCAGAACAGTGTTCCTTTTATCCACAAATTATGTGCTAATGCAAGCTTGGGCACAGATAACAGACCAAGCAAGTAACCAATCCGGCATGAAAACTCTTTTCCACAGGTATCAAATGCACAAAAATATACAAACAGCAAACTGCCTTTGTTTTTGTTTTGCCTTAACAGATCCCAAGACCTAAACAATCTCATCACAGTGAATCATATGTCTAATCAGCTAAGAAAGGAGTAAGTTTCAAACCAGAAACCTGTATTACATTCTGAATCTAGTTTGACAATTGTAAAATTTCATGTTCTTCTTTATTCCACCCTCCTACCCCAAACTCTACGGAATCTTATGATAGCTAAGGTGGCCATGGGCTGGGGCTGGGTGGGTGTTATGTCAATTTCTACTTTCTTATGAAACTGTAAGCTTTATTGTTCCATGGGCATCCATAGAGAAAGTAAAAAAGTGAAGATGGCAGTTGCTTCCTTATGATTGAAGCTACAACTTTTATTAAGTGCATGGGATGTCAAAACATATACAAAAGAAATTGAGGGTCCTAGCTGCTGCATTGAATTTAATTGATTACAATAGGTGGTATCTGGTTCACAGTAGTAACTGTGATAGGGTTTTAGGTTTCCTAGTGGACCACCATTTAAGTATGAGACAACAAAGCCAACGTAGTTCTGGGCTGCATCAACTAAAGGATAGCATCAAGATCACAAAAAGCGATAGTATCCCTCTGCACTAAAGTAGTGAGCCCACACTTGGAGTACAATATCTTGTTCTGATCATCATGATACTAAAAAGATGCAGAGACCCTAGAAATAGTGCAGAGAAGAACAATGAAGATGATAAGATGTCTGGAGGTTAAACCATACAATGAACATTTGAGGGAACTAGGTGTGTCTGGCTAGCCTAATGAAGAAAATATTAGTATGACTTGGTAATTGTCTACCAATACTACCAGGAGTTGTCTGTCAGGCATAGAAAATTAGAAGCCAGGATAGAGTTCAAAGGCACTAGGAGTTTATGCCATGCAACCTATACACAAGAATCTGATCTACTACTGGTCATGCCATATTGGCATCAAATAAGAGTCAGTGAACTTCAAGGAAGTGCTGAACTCTTATGGGGGCATAGCAACTCCAAACTGAAAATGCATTTTCAGCTGGGTCATCCCCTACCCTATCACAGAGAAGAGAGAGTTGACTTACTCTCTAAAGCACCTGAGGGCAGAACAAGATGCATTGGGTGGAAGCTCAATAATAGCTTGCCTTCTGAAGTTCTGAGGTGCTCCATAGCTGGAGGTTTTCATGAAAAGATTGAACATTCATGTGACCAGGATGATATAAGAGCCATGGTGGCGCAGTGGTTAGAATGCAGTATTGCAGGCTAATTCTGCTGACTGCCAGGAGTTCGGCAGTTTACGTCTCACCGGGTCAAGGTTGACTCAACCTTCCATCCTTCCGAGGTCAGTAAAATGAGAACCCAGATTGTTGGGGGGAAATATGCTGATTCTGAAAACCACTTAGAGATGGCTGTAAAGCACTGTGAAGTCTGTGTTATTGTTATAAGGACTTCTACCTTAGGCAGAGGATGGATTAGAAGGCCTCCAAGGTTGCTTCCAGCTGTATGATTCTATGATTCCTAAGCTCATTTGACTCAAAAGGTTGATCCAAGGGAGATTTTCTTCACACTAAATAAAATAATTTCTCCACTGTTCTGAAAAATCTTTGGTTCTGGACTTTCTGAATTCCATTCTCATTCTCCTGCCTCCAATTTGGTATAGTGATTAAGGCCCCAGGCTAGAAACAGGAGACCATGAGTCAGCTGGATGACTGTGAGCCAATCACTCTCCCAGCCTTAGGAAGGCGGCCAGGGTAAACTACTGAATTCTTGCCCAATAAGCTGCAGGGACCTGGCAGTTGTCAGTAGTCAACGCTAACTCAAATGCACACAAAGAATGTAAAAGTGTGTCTGTGTGTGCGCGCATGTGTATATATGAAACAATATATGCTCTAGCAGTAGCAGTATTTCTACAAATAAAGATCAAAATGTTTTTAATCTCTATCAAATTATTTGATTTTATCTGTATCATAAGGTTAATCCTTTTTAGATTTTTACCTAATTATTTTGAATATAAATAAGGAGACATGCCCCCCTTTTAATCTATATTATAATTTGTGCATGTTGTGATTTTTTATCTTTATTACTTCCCTTTATACAGTGCTATTGAGACAAAGAATATTTTCTGAAATGTGTCAAGCCAAAGAAACATTTTTCTCTTGATACTTGGATTCAAACAATGCTGATAATACAGATAAATATTGTTACTGATATATTAAAAGCAATGAAATATTTAATTGAAATGCACAATATTTCAATTAAATTATCTGTCTACTTTCATTTCTAAAGGAGCATAACCTGGACACTTTCTCTAAAGTCAAAGATGAAACTAATCATGGTTAAGTCTCTGTTTCGGTTCCAGTTCAGTATCTAGAGGGAAAATACAATGCCACAATGATAAGAAGTTTTCTGGCTCTGCTAAATTCCCAAGAACCAAAGCATGAATTATGCAACAATGCATTATTATATTTTTTTTATCAGCAACAATATTTCATACCACATCAATATGAAAACTCCATTATTTTTCATCTCTAGCAGACTTTTCTACTAATAATCATCAGTGGGTACATTACTCACAAACCTAAACACTTTCTTAATCGTGCAAAGTTACTCTCATGTAGTAAGATCAAACCATAGGCTTTAGAGCAGGGGTGTCAAACTTGCTTCATCAGGGCATTGTCACATGACGTATCATGACATTTCCCTTTTCGCTAAACCAGGTGTGGGCGTGGCCAGTGTGTGACACATCAGTAGTACTTTCTCCTACTGTTTTATCTCTGCATTAGACAAAATTCAGATACTATGAAGAATAAATTACTTTATTCTTTTTTCTTTCATCTTAGCGGATATCAGGATGTGGAGGATCTCATTGAAGTGAATCGTATATCAAACCAGAAAGGCAGATAGTAAGTTTTAAATTGTAGAGTTGAATTAGGCATCTACATTATATTAATGAATCTAGTTTTGAAAAATTATCTCGTTCTTTCAAAATAGTGTGAATCAGTGACAGTTGTTTTATCAGGTATTCTTTCATAAACTTACAAATGCTATAGTTTCTTACTGAATTGTTAGTATATATAAATAACTCCTTGCTTTAAATGACTACCCTGTTTCCCTGAAAATAAGACCTTTCTGGATAATAAGCCCAATTGGGCTTTTGAGCACATGGGCTAAAATAAGCCCTCCCCAAAAAATAAGCCCTCCCCAAAAATATTGCAACACTGCAGCAGCCGTGAGGTGACCACGCTTGCTGCCTCCTGCACTTCAGAAATAATAAGACCTCCTCGAAAATAAGGCCAAGCGCTTATTTCGGGGGTCAAAAGATAATAAGACCCTGTCTTATTTTCTGGGAAATGCGGTAATTAGGAGTAAAAATCAATGAAATATTCACAAATCTTTTAAATATGAAAATGTATCGGGGTGTTTTGCATCATTTACATGATTTTACTGTGTGAAGGACTGTAAATAGTCAAAAAAACAATATTGTACCATTTGCATCTGTGATCAAATGTACACCTGGAGAAGCAATGTGGGAGAGTTTTGGCAACACAAAGCTTTCCCAGATGAAGAGACTGTAGAGTCCTGAGCTGGATGTGGAAATGTAAAAGAGGTTCAGGATAGCCACAACCTAGAATCTCTTAAGATCTAGTACAGGGGTCCCTAAACCCCCTCCCCACCTGTGCACTGGCACTGGGCTAGGGCATGCGAGGAACTGGGCAGCGCAAACAAGCGAAGCCCCATCCGCGGGACACAGGCAGTATGTGAAACCACAACCCCTCCGGTCCGTGGAAAAACGTCTGTTCACAGAGCCGGTCCCTGGTGCCCTAAAGGTTAGGGGCCACTGATCTATTAGATCAGAAAGTTATAGCTTTAGGTTGGCAACATTCTGTCCATTAGTTATAAGAAAGTAAATGATTAAACTATTGGACTTATGTCATAGCATCACAAAGATCACAAATTATTTTATTTGCATAATTATTACATTATGCAAGTGCTACAAATCATTGTAGAAGATCTATTGTATCCAGAGTTAATTATACTGAAATCTAATAAGGTTTCACTGAATATATACAGTATGTATATATGTATGTATGTATGTATGTATGTATGTATGTATGTATATATGATGTGTGTGTATGTGTGTATAATATTATATAGTCTTTACTTGCAAACATTGTTACTATGATGCACATTTACAATAAATTGTTAAATTTATATTCCATCCTTTCACCAAAAACAANCTCTCTCTCTCACATACACACATGCTCAGATGGCACTGCAGATTCCAAGAAGAATTCTGATAACTTTCAGACAGGATTCGGAAGTGTAGGCTATCAGTGGCTGAATGGCAGGGATATGAATAATTGGCTGTCACATTTTGCCAGCAACAATGGTTCTTCCATCCCAAGGACTGGCCCATAGATTCCCACTGCTCTCCTCTTCTCTGCCTTCTGCGCAGCCACGTGTCAAGCATCGGACCCAGTTATTCCTCCTCTTCCTCATCAGCCACCTCCAGACCTGGAGGCTGTTGACTCTCCATCTGAGGGTTGTTGGACAGCTAAGGCTCCACCTCTCTCTCTCTCTCTCTCTCTCTCTCTGCCAGCTCCATTCCCACTTCCCCCTTGGAGCTCTCAGATTGCCTTGAAGGTGGCCCTGACTCCCATGTTGTCTCCTCATCTGATTTGGCTGCCAGAGGGGCTGGCGCCTGACAGACTACAATACATGTTACAAGCAGGGCAGTGGTGGGATTCCAAAGTTTTTACTACTGGTTCTGTGAGTGTGGCTTGGTGGGTGTGGCATGGCATGGCTTGATGAGCTGGCAGGGGAAGGTTACTGCAAAATCCCCATTCCCTCCCGATCAGCTGGGACTCGGGAGGCAGAGAATAGATGTGGGCGGAGCCAGTCAGAGGTGGTATTTACCGGTTCTCTGAACTACTCAAAATTTCCGCTACCCGTTCTCCAGAACTGGTCAGAACCTGCTGGATCCCACCTCTGAAGTGGGAGTGCTGCTGCAGGATGCAGGAGGGCTTGCAAGAGGTTGGCATAGTGTGATCTCTGCTGGGTTGAAGGTGGCTGTTGCAAGGTGTTGAGGGGGGCACATGGGGGAGGCAGCCCAGCACAAGCTCTGCAAGGCTTTGCTTTGAAAATGCTCATATGGAGAGTGCTTCAATGCTTAACAAGTTTCTACTGTAATTTGCAGATCATATAAGGTAAGATAAAAAAAATTATAAGATTTTCCATTTGCTTGAAGGAAGCTAAATCTTGCTCTGCTGCTAGAGACTGGATGTTCCTTTCCCCCTATGTCTTTATATCAGTTTAACTTCACAATATATTAAAAATAAATGGCCATTGTTTCTTCTTCACAGAAACAAAGATCTGGATGACTTCATCGTAGTGAATTGTACATATGAGCCTTGTGACAGGAGGTGAGTTTTGCAGCCACACTGGGCATTTGTATTACATTTCTAATCTAGTGTTGAAAACAATAAATTTCATTATACATCCCAGTCCCCGTCTGCCAAAACCCCAGGTAAATCTTGCAATATTTTATTTATATCCCTTAAATATCTTCTCTGTTCTAATAAATGGTATTCAACTTTTATTGTGATCAAAGATCAATGGACAAAATGTTTGCATGTGTGTGTCTGCATGTCTTTCAGTCAGATAACTTAATTTAAAATACGAATTATAAAATTAATTACAAAATTATACCTCCAGTTTAAACTCTGACGCCAGTTTCCAATAACACCTTTCCTTTTCTGGTCCTCCCATATCCAGCCCATTTTTTAATTTAGCTAACATTTAAGGAGAAACAGGTGTAGTGGTTAAGGTACCAAGTTAGAGACTGGGAGACCATGAGTTCTGCTCCTATCTTAAGCTTGAAACCAGCTGGATGACCTACTTGGATGAATCACCCTACCTCATGCTAAGGAATGAGACAGTGGCAAGCCACGCCCGGAAATCTTACCCAGAAAACTGCAGGGACAAGTTCAGGCAATTGCCAGGTGTCAACACTGATTCAAAGGCACAACCCCACCCCTCTATTAAAGAGCACCCTTAAGTGCTTTCTTGGAGCTGAAGGGCAAGGATCAGCTGTCTGTCTGTTTTAAAACCGCAGATGGCTTTTTCCCAGGGATGCAGGCTATAACCCTGGAAGAACAGTATATAGATAAAGTGTTGAATGACAAATCCCCATCCTGGAAGGAAGGAGTAGAACCACTGTAAAACTGCAGCCGAGGGGTGGGATGATATCAAAATAGTTGATGGCATCTAAAATCAACCAGCAATCCAACAGAAATAACAGCTACATTTTCCAGGGTTGTATTTTATTTTATTTTGGTAGGTTATCCATTTGGGTGAGTAATGCAGTTTCAGTACCATATCAGAATTGAAATCCTATTTAAGATGGTTTTAGAAGGTCATTAACATTCATATGCATCTGAAGATATAAAGCCAGTCTTTCCCATTACCTTTCTAGAAACAGAATTACAGGTTGGCTTGTAATTAGACAGTTCTCATAGGGGTGAGAATTAATTCTCACATGAGTATTTTAAAGAAAGTGTCCCTTGTTCTGTATTAACTCTCAAATAAGTTGAGAGTTCTTCAGTTTATATTCCAGTTGGGATAGCTTGTGCTTCATCACTCAGAACTTACTCATAAATAAAGGACTTGGTACCAGAAGAAGGAAGAAGGTACTCGGGAACAATTTAAATTAAATTCACAATATTAATTTTGTTTTAACAATAAACAAGCAATGATTTGAATTTTCAAGGCTGACCTGCATTTTGTATTCCACTGATCTGTGATCCCTAGTCTACAGATCACTCGAGCCATCAAAACAGTACAGGTAGTCCTCGACTTATGACTACAATTGAGCCCAAAATTTATGTTGCTAACTGAGAAATTTGTAAAGTGAGTTTTGCCCCATTTTACGACTTTTCTTGCTGCATTTGTTAAGTGAATCACTGCACTTGTTCAATTAGCAACCTGGTTGTTAAGTGAATCAGATTTTCCTATTGACTTTGCTTCTCAGAAAGTCACAAAAGCAGATCACATAAGCCAGGAACACTGCAATTGTTTTTTTCCACATAATATTTTTTTATTTCCATTTCATTCTATACAATCACATGTTTACTGTGCATAACCGGAGCATGT